GCAGATACAGCGCATTGAGGGGCATTGCTGCTGGACTCCCGCCTGAGAGGAGAAGTTCAAACCATTCCTCCGGATGACTATGATGCTCGTCTAAGAAGTTCACGGTGATGCGAGCGAAGATGAATACGCCGGCCGCACGCGAGATGAGGCGTTCAAGGGCGTCCGGGTGCTTCTCGAGGTAATCGCCGTATGACGGTATCTTCGGTAAAGTCTCCTCGAGGTAACGTCCAACATCATCGTGACTGTTAGCCGTGTCCTCCAGTCGTATATGGTGTACAACATCGGCTGAGCTGGGGTTTGAAAGCACCGACAGGATGTGAGGCTCCGGCCGTGACGCGGCAAAGACGTACAGCCACGGTAACTCCCGGACAAGACTGAACAAGGACCGAAGCAGCTCGGGAACCAGCCTCCTGTCCTTGCACTCGTCTATCCCGTCGATGACGATCAGTGTCGGTGTTTGGTCTGCGGGGGCGGCGGTGAGAGTCTTCCGAAGGAGCTCCTCGAACGCGTGTTGCATTTGCTGCCGCTCGCCGTGATTAAGGTACTTGCGTGCGGTGCTGATGATGTGAGGGCGAAGGGTCGACTGGGACACTGCGAGCTGACGTGCGAGCGTCGAGAACACAAGGTGAGCGTCCTCGAGGTTCCCGCCACCGCGGACGAAGAAGAATGATGCGCCGAGCTTGAGCGAAGGGTGATCCGCTGCGTCGAGACGAACGCAGAATTGATGGGAAATCGAGGACTTCCCTAGACCTGCCCCGCCGGTGAGGTAGCAAACTTGCTTGGGCTCATCCTCGGGGAATCGAACAGCTGACCACTGCTCCAGCTCCTCGAATAGCTCTTCCCGGGTGCCTTGCATGAACCCGCTCTTGAGTTCGTCCACCGACCGGTAACCTGCATCTGCTGGAGGCATGGAGTCTATGACTCTCTGGTTCTCTTCAGGATCGATGGTCTGAGTTAGCTCAGGAGCGAAGCGTGCACGAGAGACTGGAGGATAGACTTACCATCTTCCTGCTGTTGACGCTGATGCTCCTGTAGTTGCTGTTGTAGCTGCCGCTGATTTTCTCGCATCTAATCTTGAATTTGCTGTGAAATTATGTCATGGACAAGCCGTTTGGGATGACTGCATCCCACAGACCTTCGTATCTTGCGCGACCTTGTCAAGGATGTTCTCGATGGATATTGAGCCGGCGAGCTGAAGCAAGCAAGTATGTATCAAAGCGCGTATCAATAGTTGATGGTGTTGGCACACTTTGAATAGGTCTAATGATCCTGCCATCTCTTCTTTCATGTCCGAAAGGATCGCTTTGTTCTGAGAACCGTAGATGAGACCTTTCATGAACCCGCGGAACCCCTTCCCTCCCTTCAGCTCCTCCGCGTGGCCTTGAAGGTCGTCAATTGTGCTGGTGGTTTAGCTTCACCTCCGGCAGACAGCGGTTAGACCCTGAGCGCACCTCTTCAAATCCCTTATCCGCTTCTGCAGGTCGTCAGAGCTCCTGATCTTGTCCAATAGCTCTCTTTTGTCTTGTGCATCGCCGTCATACCCGGCGACTACGGCCTCCACGTTCGCCGGCGTCATGTTGATGACAATCTTCAGCGCATCAGCCTGAGCTAGGAAGGCACTACGCGCCCCCTGGTTCTCTCGGACAACCTACAAACGAAGTAGAAATGTTGTAGAGTGCCGTTCGTCAGTTGAGCGGGGTCCACGCACTTGAACTCTCTCGATGAGTGCATTGAGCCCCTTTGTGACAAGAGATAGGCCCGGCACGGGGGCAAGCCCTAGAGCATCGCCAGCCAAGTCGAGGATGGGAGAGGCGACATCGAGGGCAATCTCAATAGCACCATGAGGCGACCGTGACATGGTCGACTATGATGAGTGTGTCGTGGACGGTGTAGGCAGACTTTCACAGCACAGAAGCGAACGGGCGATGCGTGGATTCACCATATGTTGGCCTCGTGTATCAACGGCCATGAGACATGGATTGGCAGGGAAGCTGGTTCCTCGTTGCAGGCTGTGTGTTAGAGTTTAATTGTACGAAGGCCGCACATCGCCCCGCATGCCTTTCACCGGCATGCTTCGATATTGGCGGCGCAGGCACCGAAATATCAGGCGAGGCGGTATAGCGAGAGAGCCTGAAGCCCCCGGCAAGTGTGGCAGTCACATCCTCTGAGCTTGTTGCGAGAATCCTCCATTACAGCAAAGCGCGGAACTCGAACAAATCACCGAGGCCTTGTGGCGTCCGGCCGGGATCCGCCTGCGCTCTCCTGGCTCTGCTCCGCCCTTCGATGCTCGCCATGAGACGATCTTCGCCCTGCGCCAGATGTCCTTCCACAGGTTCTTCCAGGCCGTTCCATGCTCCACCCAGTCGCCTCATCTTTTGACACTGCGAGCGACCACTCACTTCGGCCCAGAGCTGAAGCTGAAAGACCGCCATTACATGCTGTCCAAATCGATTCCTAGGAGCTTTCAATCTTGAGACTCCTCTACAGGCCTTTCGATCGAGTAGTCGCCTTTCGAGCGGCTCACAGAGTTCAACGGGCGGCCAGAGTCGCGTTTTTGGAGCGCCAACCACCGGGAGTGAAAGGTTGTTGATCGGAAGTATATTATGGAGCTGGGCCTAGGTGCGCACGTACACTGACTCTCAGTTGACTGCCTTCTAAGAATATACACCAGAATAACCAGAATGCAGTGTCGAGTCTCGCAATGGCCCGCTCGTGTACGACTCGTGAAAGTCGATCCCTTCCCGAACGAGCCGTTGCTACCGCGTATGCTCGTGTACAGCATCACAGTATTTGATGTTATACACGGGAGCTGTACGATGGTGTCAACTTTGCGCGGAACGTACAGATAAAACAGGACGCACACCATTACCGGCGAGCACAAGCGCGAGTGCTCACACACAATTTACGATGGTCGTTGTCTGCACGATGTTGACCTCGAGAGCTTGAACAGTTCGAGATGCAGCTGGACGTGCCGAAGTCTGCGCCTCGGATACATAAACTCGGGACGAATCGTCTCGCCGAATGTTCAGCGTAGGGCGGGCAGCCTAGGCACGCGTGTAGCTCAACATAGCGGAAGAGCGCACATGACGTCATAGGGGAGCGCAAGAGTGAAGATGCCTCGGATCCTGCCGAAGGGCGGTTTGGTGACTGCAAGAGTGCCTGCCAGACGGGAGATTGTAGTGATGTGTGCCGAGAATGCTGGCGGTGCGTCAGCGGCCGTGGACATCAATTCCCGTCTTCGTTCTCGACGAGCGAGACTCGCTCGTATTTCGGGTTCTGTCTGCAGTCCCGTAGCCCGTCAGAAAACCAGCCCAAGTGCACGAGTGGTTACCAGCGAGACGCACCAGAGCAAAACGCCTGCTTCGATCAAACTTGGCTCGCCCTATCCAGTAGCGCCGCCGCGGCTTTCGACACGCTCTCCACGTTCGGGTCCCAAAGATCCCTGAGCTTCTCCTACGTAGCGGTATTCCGTGTCCGTCGTTCAGGCCCAATGGTCCAAGCAACTTCCCGCTCAACCCGGCACAAATGCACAGCTGGCCGGACGGGAACCAGTATCGTAGCATTGCAGAAGATGTTGTATGCGCCAGGTGAGAGGACGGCGAGGGTGTGCCGTCCTGCTCGGGCGGCGACGGAGCGGTATCGGACAGAAGAAGTGCTGTGAGCTGCATCGAAAGTTTGTTGAGTATGCTCGTGCCGGGAAATGGTACGCAGGTTGAGCATGATTTCGCAGGTTTTCGGCTTTGTGGACACCGCACGACATTCCCCCGGTGGCTGAGCTCCCCCAAAAAAGCATGAGAGCGATGGACAAGACGTCAACACTAGTAATCCTGCACAGAAACCGTTGGTCAGACGTCAAGCCCGGGGCATCACCGATAGAACTCACAGTTGGCCCATCGCCCTGCTGACGTCCTGCTCGATGGCGGCGACGTCCTTATGGTGCTTCTCGCCCGCGGACATCTTGGTCACGACCAGGCGTTGAACGAGCGGTATCCCGTGCTAGTCACCGACGTGGTGTTGCCAGGCGCTGGCATGCCGTCTTCTCCGAGTCCGTGTAGGTGAGAGTCTATGAGACCGATGTTGAGGGGCATGGCCGGGCAGGCGTGGTGAGAGACACGGCCTGTATGCTGATGCGTGTCTCGTACAAGCAGGAGCCAACGAACTGGAATCGCAATGGGCGACGCGCCGAAGTAAGACAGCGTAGGTACGCACCTCTGCCATAATACTCTCCGGGTTGCACATATCTCTGGCATTCGACGTACTTGGACAAGACGAATGCTCGAGCGATAGGCTCTGAGGCTGGCCCGCCACCCATCCTCTATCGATGCAACGCTGAGAAGAGAGCACAAGGTCCAGGAACGAGACGTCGCCAGGCAAAATAAAAGTACTGTGCGTACGATGCGGCCACGCTGTCCGCTTGCACGATTGGGGGTCTCTTGAGAAGACCGCGGCGGCGAAGGAACAGGAAGCGCTGGAGCTGCAGGCCGATCGCGTCTCCGCGTGGCCGGTTGGAGGTCGACTTTGCAAGAGAGGTACTCGCCTTGTTTGGTTGAAGCACTGGGCCAGACGCGGACCTGGACGTGCACACGAAAAGCAAAGCATGGACCGGCAAGGGTGCAGCATGTTATAAGTCAATGATCCTTCTCAGCGGTCAGCTGCTCGCCGCCCAACATGCATGTCTGTGTTTATGACACTCATCAGGCACTGATTAAATCCAACATTAAAGCCTGACCAGCGAACTCGTTCAGACACTATGCCTCTGGCCACACTCACCGCGCGATACTACTGGATTTCCGAAGGCGCTGTTGCCGTGCGCTGACCGTGCGAGAAACTGCACATCACCGGTCACCGGCATCCTTTGATATCCGACTCAGTCTCCGACCGGCCAAGTCCGGGCGCGGTAGAGAGCGTGTGCTCGCTCGGGTCTATCGCGCTGTGCTTATTCTCAGATATATGCGCATGCTAGTTAGAGCTACACGACCTTACCCTCAAGCAGAGTCAAGCTTACCGACGTGAGCGCACTTTACAGTCGTATATTTCGGTATGCTTATGGACATGCTAGATCCTCTCGACCGGTCGACACCTTCCGACACCTCATGGTCGATGCTGTCGTCTTCACCATCTTTGGCACTTGTTGGTCCTCTTGGCCATTGGACCCTGGACTGTTGCAACGTCCGAGACCCTTTGAGCGTTGCGGTCTGTAAGCTTCCATAGCGTGACATCATGGTGAGTTGTATTCGTGACTATGTAAGACGGAAGATCCCACATAATACCCTCAGTCTCTGAACTGCCCCAGCCTGAGCTTGTAAGGTCGTCTGCAAGACCTCGAACGCGTGCTTCAATAGACCGTGGACAGGGCCCCCTGTCCGTCACACAAGCGTACCCAAGACGCTATGGTGGGCACATTCACTTGCATACTCTATACAAGATTTCTCATCAATCGCACTCCCTTGGGACTAGGTGATCGGACAATGACTTCATATAGCAGCGCACGTAAGTATACTGGCTTTGAATAAACGTTGCAGCGCCGATTGGATGGCGCGCTGAGTGTTCTTGTCAAGCCACGTCCACTGGAGCTCCTAGGTCAACTATCAGCACTTCTTCACCTGTATCGACGTACCTAGGCCTAGGCGTCCATGTCGTTCAAACTACGACACTCCTCGCGAGGAACCGGCCATCATTCCCACCTGGAGCTCCACCGAAGCCTCCCGGTCAACTGGTGAAGGAACTCTGCGAACAAGCGTAGAAGCCGCCGTGCATGCCTACCATCCTAAGCCCACAAAAGTCTCCAAGCCTGCTGCAATTGAAGGGCACACACGTCTGGCGTCCTGCAGCGCATCTAGCCCGTGACGGGGACGCGATTTCACTGCAGGTATGTGCCCGAGCTGCGACGAATGGGTGTAGAAACCCGCTCGTGCTTCCGCCGGGGCAGAAGCCACCTGTACGACCGCCGAAGCCGAGGGAGTGCGCTTTGGGAAAGAACCCGCCAGGCATGCCACCAGGACCACCGAAGCCAAGATGGGCACTCTCGAGATGGTCAGTGGGAAGAGTACCCAGCGACGCAGGGACTGAGATGGTGGGCTAGACACGCACTTTCTCATCGCTCTCTACAGCCCTTTCCGTGACCCATCGTACTTCCTCTCTCATTTCCCTATGTCGCTGTCCTAACTTTATTTTGCAACATGTCACTTCTATGGCATTTACATCATACTAGACCATAGTTTGTGAGTCTCTGGAATAATCTAGCATACACTTCCGTACAGCAATAACTAACGAGGATAGAGCAATGAGAATCATAATGAGAAGTGCAAATGGTCTGCTCTTCGTCGGCACGCTGGCTCGGAGGGGGTAGCGGAAACGTGGTCGGACCTTTATCGTCTGCAGATGCAGTTGCTGGCCTCGTCTGAATACAGTAACAGAGGCTACAATATGCGGGGTTGTGGGGTAGTCGACGGGTCAACCATCGAGATAATCGGCTGATAGGTTACAGAGAGGTGAGTTGGATATGGAGCTCTCGGAGATGAATTGGAATCTCAGATAAGCCCTATATAAAGAGTCAGTATTGCAAGCTATCAGCCACCGCTCCCTGGTTGTTTCATCTCGGTTTATCTCCATCATCAAGTTCGCCATGATGGTCTGATATCGTGCCAAATGGTTGTTGTCAACAGTGAGGTCCAGGCTAAGAAGCAGCTCGTCGTATCCACGAGGAAGCTTTGGGATCGCCCAAGGTAGGTAAACCCAGGTGATTTGTGGCGGGTCATGACTTGGAGATAAGGAGAAGCCAAGTCTCCATAGTTCAATATAAATACCAAACTTGAAGAACTCAGAACATATCGCTCTCCTGGCTCCTGAAGGCTACATCACAAATAGCAAACAAGTATGATATTAGCATACAACAAATATATTTGGCACATGCGTAGTTGAAACCAATTGCTCACCTGGAGGTAGTCCCATATATACTGTAAAGTATACTTGTTGAACAATTTAAGTGCGAATTGTTCACCGATCCATATATAGAGGGCCAATCGGGTATCTTGCACGAACCGAGATAGCTGCTCCTCCAACTCTGCGGTATATTTGGCCTGCTTAATGTGGTCCTTCCAGCTGTTTGCCATTATTTCAAAGTTGACGTGTGTATGCTGGAGTGACAGATCCGAGTCCAATCTCTGCCACAGATGACATGTGTAATTCTCGAAGGACATGGCTGCCAGACAAGCGCATGCAATGTGAGCATGTCCTTCAGATTCGTCCACATGGTAGAGCGAATCACTACACCGATCCTCGTCCACAAGGAATTCGCCGAACGAAGCGTGGAGGGGCACCACGCGCCCGCGCTCGTCAATCATCAGCACGAAACGCAGGTGGTCCACGATGTAGAAGACGTCAGCGGCGGACACATCGCGTCCGTAGAACGCGACGGTCTCAAGATTAAACCACTCAACTTCCAGTGTAATGAAACGCAGGAGGAAGATGAGGCGTTCGTGTTCTCGAGGCTGTTATGATGGGCATGGTGGCGTGGGATATCATTTCCTTTTTCGTCTCTGACTCTAGTTTAGTAGTACAGCCATCGTCGACTCATAGAGCGCAGCTCCACTGACTCACCCGCAGTCCCTTTGACTAGTAGACTAGTCCTTAGGTTAGGCTGAGCAGTAGTATATATACCCTGCACATGTACAGTACAACTTCAGCTTTCAGCTCTTTCGTATATTCATGTTTCTTTATTCTGCTCTAACCTCATCTGCGGATAAGGCGATCAGACAAGCTTCAGGCTTGCTAAGAAACCTCTGTCATAACATTAGCTGAAAGCTTATCAACAAGGCGGACCTAAGACAGGTCTACGCCACGAAGAATAGTCAAGACGACTACTCCACAAGCAACTGGGGTGAACGACTGCGCCACAGCAGCACACAAACATAACCTTAGGCCTGATAATAGGCACGACTACCACTGATACGACGAAGGACATTGGAGACATTGTTTTCAACAACTCTGCCCCAACCGATACTACACATACCAAGGAACAGTACGAGTACCACAAGGACTCGCCCTCTGCGATCCAGCACAAGAAGAATTCATCCAAGAAAGGGACAGGCTTAACGAAGAAGCCAGGCTTAGAGAAGAACAAGCCCAACAAGCAACTCAACTATCCGCCAGCGTACCACCATCCAGACCACAGACACCACACCCATACGATCAATCTCGTAGACATAGCCGAGCACCCAGCAGGGCAGAAACCTCTACCTCTATCGAAGTAGACGACGAAACACCCGAAGCACAAGGATCACTTCAGGTACCAGAAATCAGACTCGAACCATTCGATATCCCCCTCCCGGATCTCGACGTACCCATCCCACCTGAACGACAGGAAGAAATATACGAAGTTACTAGACAACTTCAGATGCCCTCTACGATGGCAGACACAAATACTCTCATGCGAGAAATGATCGAGGCACTTCAGAAAGCAAATGAACATGCCTCTACCCCAAAACCCCAGAAGTTTGACGGCACGCAACGAATTCAGGACTTCCTGAAAGATTGCGACATCTACTTCAAAGGCAAAGACACAACCAAGGATGCAAAGAAAATTCTCTTTGTACTCAACAACACCGAGAAGAAGCCACACGACTGGTGTCGCACCAAGTTTGACGAATACGAAGCCAGCACAACTTGGCCCACATGGACCAAATTCAAGGAAGACTTCGCCAAAGCCTTTCAGAAGGTGGATAGCGAAGTTGACGCCATCGTAAAACTCGACAGAATAATGCAGTCAGACTTCGATTCAGTCAATGACTACAACGTCGAATTTAACCGACTCGTCAAAGAAGCCAAGTACAACAACCTGAGCACAGACACCTACCTCCAACGTACCTATACAGGAGGACTCAAATCTGTCCTTGCAAAGACTCTCATCCAACGAGAAAAGAAGCCAACCACACTTCAAGGATGGCAAGAAGAAGCACTCAAGCTGGACAACGCAGAAATAGAATGGGACAAGCTCAGACGAGGAAGACAAAGGGGAAGGATCGACAAGACTACCTCTCACTCTGGAGGAAATGGAGGAGGAGGAAGAACTCAGGAACGCGACCCCGATGCCATGGACATCGACGCCGTATCTCGAGACCAAACACGCCGAGAAGGACGATGCTTCAATTGCGAAGGCAAGGGACATATTGCCAGAAATTGTCCTTCGCCCAAGAAACCCCAGCAACGCGACCAACAAGGAAGATACCAACCTAATCGCTCGCAACAAGGCAACCGTCCTTAGACAAACCAAAGATCAGGACAATGGAATAAAGGAAATTCCACCAATGTCCGCGCTACAACGGTCAGAGAGGAACCCAACCTCATTGATCTCAACAACGAACCTAGAGATTTGGTCAAAGAAGTAACCAAACTCTCTCAAGAAGATGCTCAGGATCTCTTCGCCCGATATCTTGAAGCTAATCCGGATCTTCATGTCTGAGGGTTGCCCCAACGTCAACACCTCTTAGAATATCAATCTCCTCTGTATTAATTGCCGATATGCAATCAAAATTAATGCGTATTCCCATCCAAATCAGAGCAAAAGAAACCGTTGGAAAAGTTCTTGCACTAGTCGACTCAGGAGCACAAGGCAAATTCATCAATTGAAGAACAGTCCGGGAGCTAGGACTACAAGAGAAACCTTTGAAAAAACCAATCAAAGTATTCAATGTCGACGGAACCCCGAACGAATTGGGGCTTATTCGCAACAAAGTCGAAATTGACATGAACGTGGGAAACCAACCTACCAAAGAAAGGTTGTTAGTTACCCAATTAGGCAAACAAGACATCATCCTCGGCATGGACTGGTTACAAGAAAGAAACCCATCCATCAACTGGAACAAAGGCACTCTAGACTTCTCAAAAAGAATTCAAAAGTGCGAAATCGAGGAATTACCAGATAACGAAGGAAGAAACATCAATGCTCTTCCATCCAACAACTCAGCACTTCTTAGAGAAGAAACAGAATTTGCGGTCACTATCTCAGAAGGAGGACAAATACCCACTAGAGGAACAGATGAAGCCGCAGGACTTGATCTCTATGCAAGCGAAGACCAGATAATACCACCTCAATCTCGCATGCTTATCAAAACAGGGCTAAGCGCTCAAGTTCCTGAAGGAACCTATGGACGAATCGCACCAAGAAGCGGACTAGCAGTCAAGGGAATCGACGTAGGAGCAGGAGTAATCGACAGGGACTATACAGGAGAAATCCGCATACTCCTCATTAACTCTGGGATCGAAGAACACAAAGTGATCAAAGGAGATCGAGTGGCGCAACTAGTACTTGAACGAATCTCTATGGCAAAACCCAAACAAGTCAAAACCTTACCGGGAACTGAACGAGGATCAAAAGGGTTTGGGTCTACCGACACCAAAACAATACAAGAAGCCAGACCAGAAGAAATAGCTCGACACGTACTACATCTTCTCAGAAAAGGAGCACCTCTGGACCGGTCTATACACATTGCCTCGATAGTCGCCTCAGAACCCATCCTACAAGCCGAACAATGTGAAGAAGGAGACTACATCCTCGCATACACCCCAGGAGATTCCTTCGCATACACCATGCGCGCCGAACCAGATGAAATGGCCAAAGACATAGCATCTTTATGGATTAACGCAAAAATCAACCCGGCAATGGCAATGGCACAACAGGCAACAGAGAATACAAAAAAAAAACTACCAAATGCTTATCAAGACTATCAAGACGTCTTTGAAAAGCAAGCAGCCGAACAGTTTCCAGAATCAAGACCATATGACTATGTCATCGACCTGAAACCAGATTTCATCCCTAAAGATTGCAAGGTCTACCCGTTATCTCCATTAGAACAACAGAAACTCAACGAATTCCTCGATGAGAATATGCGAAAAGGCTACATACGACCATCAAAATCACCAATGGCCTCACCATTCTTCTTCGTAGGAAAGAAAGACGGAACGCTACAACCATGCCAAGACTACCGGTATTTGAACGATGGCACTATCAAAAACGCATACCCACTTCCTCTCATCTCAGACCTCGTCGATCAATTCAAGGGATCCAGCATATTCACTAAGCTTGATCTACGAGCAGGATACAACAACGTACAAATCAAAGATGGAGATCAATGGAAAGCAGCCTTCAAAACGAACAGAGGACTATTCGAACCAACAGTCATGTTCTTTGGACTATGCAACTCCCCGGCAACGTTCCAAGCAATGATGAATGACCTATTCCGTGACATGGTCAACGAAGGATGGCTAGTCATATATATAGATGACATGCTTATTCATTCATCCAATCAAGATGAACATAGAAAGCGAACACGAAGAATCCTTCAAAGACTCCGCGACAATGATCTTTTCCTCAAACTTGAGAAATGCACCTTTGATGCATGGCAAGTTGAATTCCTTGGAGCACTCGTATCACACAACCAAGTTGCCATGGACCCAGTCAAAATCAAAGGAATATTGGACCTGGTCGATACCGACTACCGTCAAACAAGTTTGAGGATTTCTAGGATTCGGCAATTTCTATCGACGCTTCATCGACCACTATTCAGACATTGCAAAACTGCTCAATGAACTTACCAAGAAAGACAAGCCGTTCAATTGGACAGACAAATGTCAGAAAGCTTTCAAGACGCTGAAACAGCGATTTACATCAGCACCTCCTCTTCTATTAATGCCGGACGCCACAAAGCCATTCCTCATTGAAGCAGACGCATCGCTTTTCACAACAGCAGCAGTACTCCGACAACAAGATATCAACGGAGATTGGCTACCGGTCGCCTACCTGTCCCAATCCTTCGACCCAGCAGAACGCAACTACGAAATCTACGATAGGGAATTACTGGCAATAGTACGAGCGCTCGAAGCGTGGCGCCACTACCTAGAAGGAAACCCAAGCGCCACAAAGATCCTCACCGACTACAAGAACCTCACATACTTCCGATCTCCACAACGATTGAATAGACGACAAGCAAGATGGCAACTATTCATGTCCCAGTTCAATTATGAACTTGAACACCATGCAGGCACCAGACTCATCCAAGCGGACGCCATGACAAGAGCCTCTGCACCAGCTGATGCGAAATTCGACAATACAGAAGAAGTGTTACTACCTGAAGACAAATTCATCGCCACAATCCTCCTACCAGACTTATTATTCACCGAAGAAGCAATCATTTCCGACATCGAAATCGAAGCGCCCACTTCTAGTGTGGATTATAAATTGGCAGAAGACATTCAAAAACATCTTACACATGACGACATTGCTGAACAAGTACGATCAGCACAACTAGGAAAAACTGACGCATTTCCTTTCAAGTCAAACACTGATCAATGGGAAGAAAGAGACGGACTACTCTTTTATAAGGAACGATGCTACATACCAGCAAATCAAGCACTACGACGCCACATCGTATCCTCCTACCATGATTCCCCTGGAGCTGGACACCCTGGACAATGGAAAACAGGAGAACTCATCCGACGCGAATATTTTTGGCCAAGCATGCAAACCTTCATCTCAAATTACGTCCGAGGTTGCGCAAAATGCCAGCAAATGAAAATTAATCATCAGCCAACTATCCCACCTCTCCAACCGATCAAATCTACTCGACGGGACCGTCCATTCGCGTTCACAACCTGCGACTTCATCACACACCTCCCGGCGTCTCATGGATATAATGCTCAAATGGTCGTGGTAGACCATGATTCTACGAAGGGGGTAATTCTTTGCCCTTGCACAGAAAAGATAGACACGCTAGGCACAGCCAAACTCTACCATCAATATGTCTACCGAAGATTCAGACTACCAGACGTCTTTCTCACGGACCGGAGTCCGCAATTCGACTCCCAAGTCATGAGAGAATTATGGAAGCTAACCGGAGTACAAGGACGAATGAGCACTGCATACCATCCTCAGACCAACGGTCAAACGGAACGAGCCAATCAAGAGGTAGAAGCGTACATCAGAATTTTCTGCCAGAACAATCCGCACAGCTGGGCACAGCTTCTTCCCGATATGGAAGTGACGTTCAACAATCGAGAACACAGCGCCACAAAGCATTCGCCATTCTATCTCATGTATGGTTCACACCCAAGGATCATCCCCACAGCCTTTCCCAAGACTAAGGTTCCATCCATACAACAATGGCTTCTAAAACGAACCCGCGCACACGAAGAGGCCCACGCTGCCTTAGACCAAGCACAGCATCGCATGGCCTCAAGAACTTACAGGAAGTTTTCACCATTCCAGAAAGGCCAGAAAGTTTGGCTTGAGATGACAAACTTCCAAGATGGTTATCCCTTCAAGAAACTCGCACCCAAACGTCAGGGACCATTCAGAATCAAAGAAGTTCTAGGACCTTTGGTATACAAACTCGATCTTCAAGGGCAGCGAAAACTTCATGATGTCTTCCACGCCTCGCTTCTCACCCCGTATCATGAAACCGAGCAGCACGGCCCCAATTTCATAGAACAGCCTCCAGAGATCATCGACAGCCATGAAGAGCACGAAGTCGAGGCGATACTCAATCACAAGACATCCTATGGCTATGTCCAATATCTCGTCAAGTGGAAAGAACAGCCACAAGCAGAGAACTCTTGGGAACCCAAGTCTCATCTAAAGAATGCCCAAGATATTCTGAACGCGTATAAAAGGAGGCACAATCTGCCTATTCGCTCTCCAGCCAAGACAACCCCAGTCGCAGCTACAACAAGTTTCAAGTCTCCAAACCAGCCTTGTCTCTCTACAAAACAATGTCTTCCACCCTCGCCACCATCTTCGAGCGCGTCCCCATCTCCACCCTCACAGAATCCACCTCGCAAATTTGCATCTGCAGCCCGTCCTCCATTGAACTCTCCAACGCCCAGCACGCATACGATGCTGACGTCTTCGACAACAACCCCGTCCCATCCCGCGCACCCACTCCGGACTCACACGAAAGCACCATCCCCGTCGACGAGCACTCTGAGTCCCACTGGGACTGGAGTGCAGAAGAAAACGAACGAAAATACCGCGAAACCACTTACCTCCAGCGGATCACCGAAATTCGCAACGACTACAGCGCTTGCGAGCTCCTCTCGCAACTTGCCGAGGAAGAGGACAATGCCACGAAGATATTTGCAAGGACTGTCACGAGTTTTCACGTGCTCAATGAGCATTTCACCGACACTCATCGCGATGCTGCGAACTTGGTGCACATCAACGACGAAGGCCTCGGTAAGCTCAGGACGCAAATTGGGAGGACAGACACAGAGCATCTAGAGGCATGGAGAGATTTCGCCAACTACTCGGAAACGCACCCATCGGCATCCCACATCGTCAACACAGCCCATCGCTATCAATTCGGGCCCTCGATCCATTTCGCCTATCTATTCAACGATTTCGAACCCATGCCCAACCCAACACCAACCTACTCTCGACCCCTTTCCGAATGCATCACCTCGTCATCATCCAGCCAGTCCTTTCTATCGGCCAGCCAGTCCTTTCGGGGATTTCGAGAACAGCCATTCCCTTTGGCGAGCACGCCGTCTCCCCCATCGTATGAGTCCGACAGCCACGTCGCCACCAAGAAGTCGGTCCGCTTCGCCTCCAAATCCCTCGATATCATTGATCCCGGCTGGACATCTCCGAGCGCGCTCTCAGATTGGACGACTTCTGCAAAGGTTTCGAAGAGGCAGCTCAAGCGCGAACGCCGCCGCCGCAGCAGACAGTCCAAGCCGCTCCTAGTCATCAAGAAAGCCCTCGAGGACGCTGTCGCGCGAGTTCAAGAGGAGATCTGGGCTCTGAACTAATTTCAACCGTTGCTCGAAGATAGATTGGGGGGTAATGTTATGATGGGCATGGTGGCGTGGGATATCATTTCCTTTTTCGTCTCTGACTCTAGTTTAGTAGTACAGCCATCGTCGACTCATAGAGCGCAGCTCCACTGACTCACCCGCAGTCCCTTTGACTAGTAGACTAGTCCTTAGGTTAGGCTGAGCAGTAGTATATATACCCCGCGCATGTACAGTACAACTTCAGCTTTCAGCTCTTTCGTATATTCATGTTTCTTTATTCTGCTCTAACCTCATCTGCGGATAAGGCGATCAGACAAGCTTCAGGCTTGCTAAGAAACCTCTGTCATAACAGAGGCGAGGCACGCAAGTCTTCCGGAGGGAATGCGGACCGCAGGATCTGCAGATACAGTGCATCGAGAGGTGATGTCGCTGGACCCCCGCCTGAGAGTACAAGGTCGAACTATTCCTCTGGATGATTGTGATGCTCATCCAAGAAATTGACGGTGATCCGAGCGAAGATGAATACGCCGGCTGCATGCCTGATGAGACGCTCAAGGGCGTCCGGGTGCTTCTCGAGGTAATCACCGTATGAGGGTATCTTCGGTAAAGTCTCCTCGAGGTAATGCCCGACATCACCCTCACTGTTCGCTGCGTCCTCCAGTCGCATATGGTGAGCAACATCGGCCGGGCCGGGGTGTGCAAGTACCGACAGGATGTGAGGCTCTGGCCGTGACGCAGCGAAGACGTACAGCCACGGTAACTCGCGGACAAGACCGAATAAAGACCGAAGCAGTTCGGGGACTAGCTTCCTGTCCTTGCACTCGTCTATTCCGTCGATGACGATCAATGTCGGCGCCTGGTCCGCGGGAGCGGCGATGAGAGCCTTCCGAAGGAGTCCCTCGAATGAGTGTCGCATCTGCTGCCGATCGCCGTGTTTGAGATATTCGCGTGCGGCGCTAACGATGAGAGGGTCGGCTGAGACACTGCGAGCTGGCGTGCGAGAGTCGAAAAGACGAGGTGCGCGTCCTCGAGGTCCCCGCGTCCGCGGACAAAGAAGAATGATGCGCCGAGTCTGAGGGAGGGGTGTTCCGCCGCGTCATAGCGGACACACAGCTGGTGTGAAATCGACGACTTCCCCAGACCTGCCCCGCCGGTGAGGTAGCAGACTCGTTTAGGCCAGTCCTCGGAAAGTCGACCGGCTGACCACTGCTCCAGATCCGAGAATACCTCTTCCCGAGTGCCTTGCGTGAATCCGCTCTTGAGCTCGTCCACCGACCGATATCCTGCGTCTGCTCGAGGAATGGAGTCGATAACCCTCTGATCCTCTTCACGGGTGGTGGTCAGTTCCTGGGTGAAGCGCGCATGAGGGACCCCCGAATAGACTCACCAGCTTCTTGTTGCTGACGCTGATTCTCCCATAGCTGACGTTGATTTTCCCGCACTTGATCCTGGATTTGCTGCAGAATAGTGCCATGGACAAGTCATGTCTGAGATGACTGCGTTGCACAAACCTTCGCATCTTGTGCAACCTTGTCGAGGATGTTCTCAATGGATATTGAGCCGCTGATCTGGGGAAAGCAAGCATGCGTCAAAGGGCATTTTAACGGCCGATTAGGTCTATATACTTTGAATAGGTCCAGTGCTCTTGCCATCTCTTCCTTCATGTCCGACAGAATCGCTTGATTCCGAGACGCGTAGATGAACCCTTTCAAGAACCCACGGAACCCCTTCCCACCCTTCAGCTTTCCCGCACGTCCTTGAAGGTCGTCAATTGTGCTGGCTTGATTTTAGCTTCGCGAGAGACGGACGATGATTAGACCCTAAGCGCACCTCTTCAGATTCCTTATCCGCTTCTGCAGGTCGTCAGAGTGTCTGATCTTGTCCAATAGCTCTTTCTTGTCCTGCACATCGCCGTCGTACTCGGCGACTACGGCCTCCACATTTGCTGGTGTTGTGTTGATGACAGCCTTGAGCGCGTCTGCCTGAGCAAGGAAGGCACTACGCGCCCCCTTGTTCTCCCGGACAACCTACGAACAAAGCAGGAATGTTGTAGAGTGCTGATCGTCAGTTGAGTGGGGTCGACACACCTTGACTCTCTCGACGAGCGCGCCGAGTCCTTTTGCGATGATAGGTAAGCCAGGCACCGGGGCAAGACCTAGGGCATCACCAGCCAGATCGAGGATCGGAGAGGCAACATCGAGAGTAACATCGCCAGCCCCATACGACGACATGGTCGACTATGGTGAGTGTGTCGTGGACGGTGTGGGCAGACTTTCACAGCACGGAAGGGAATGTGCTTGGATTCACCATTTATCGGCCTCGTGTATCGACATCCATAAGACATGGACTGGAAGGGAAGATGATGCTCGTTGCAGGCTGTGTATTAGAGTTCAATAGTACGAAGACCGCACTTTGCCAGTGTCCCGGGAGCAGCGTGCCTTTTGGCAGCGCAGGCGCGGAGATGTCAGGCAAGACGATACGATGAGGGAGTCTGAGGTCTGCCAAATGTGGTACTCATTGCGAGAGTCATCCCGGCGCGTAGGTCCAATGTCTTGGAACAAATCGCCGAGGCCTTGTGGCGTCCGGCCGGGGGTGAGTCCACCGCAGAAGATACAGGGAGTGGGACCGTCGGACCGTCGGGGCCCGGGGGCCATAACGTAACCGGTGCCGGGCACCCCCTTTTTGCCTCTTTTTGTCCATTATCATCGTCACGTCTTTATAAATTTGTAAACTTTTAAGTTTAAGTCTCATATTCTGCAATAGATATGTGTAAATATATTTATGCAATTCTCAGGGCCTGCAGAGTATTGTCGCATGTTGAGAACCCTGCACGAGATCACGAAGCGCGCACGCGGTAACTCTTCTCACTGTTCACTGTTCTCAGTTCTCGCTGCCCGTCGATGGGCAGACTCAGCAGGTAGTAGTGGCGGAGGTTAGTTTAGATTATACATAAATAGTTTATAGAATTATGATGTATGTAGACTACTTTCTATCTACGTATGGCCGTTATGCGAGAGTATTTGAGAGGCTCTAACGATAAACGTTGCTCTGGCTTAGACTATTAACACTACACTATTATTACTACTTTCGGCTACGCCGACGCTGTTCCGGCGCCGCGCCCTTGCGGCACAAAGGCCCTGCGGCCCCGCGGCCCATTCCATTTCCCGGACGTCCTCTTTAAGATGCTGGAAACGAGCCCCATGGCCCTCGAGCAAAACGAAGTTGGGGCCTTGTGGCGTCCGGGGGTCGCCGGCGCTTTTAGTACCGACGCGCCGGGACACCGGCCTCTGCCCCTCGACGCCCATCATTAGTCGGTATTTGCCTCACATCTCATTCTTGAGAAAGTTACTGTAGAACACATCCTCAGATATGTCTCGCACTTTGCATAGTACCACTCCGGCAACTCTCCGAACAACGCTGCCCGAGCTGCAGCATTCAAATTACCACACCCCGCTTTGAAGCGTCTCGCAGAGTTCGCCAGGCAACCGGGCTCGGGGCCTGGGAACACCAATTAGGTGGGAAGTGTTGTCGGTCGGAAGCGTATTGTGGAGCTGGGACTCGGGTGCGCACGTATATTCACTCTCGGTCGACTGCTGGCTGAGAATTCACAGAATTACTTCAAGGTACCGCGCTAAACCTCACAACGTCCGCTCGTGTACATCCCGCTGCGTGCTGCTACCAGGATCCAACTCTTTGAGTCGATGGTGAAGGAACCAAAGACTTGCAGTTCAGGTGTAACAAGAAGGGCAATGTTGCCACGGTCTACGAGAATACATCTTAGAAATACTGGTCGCGCCAGGTTTCGAGCTTCAGTCCGTTCCGAAAAGCCTAGAAGGGGTGTTAGGCAGCGTATGAGAAGGAAGGATGAGCAGCCTGAAGCTCGGGGGCGCCAAGTCATGCGCGATGCTGAGTGAGGCACTGTCGTGTTGAAGAGCAAAGCCACGAAAGAGCGCACAGGTGCCTGAGCTACTGCGCACTTGCGAAGTGACCCAAATCCTCGTACGTCTCTCTGATTCTCAAGTCATCTTTCACTTCTGATTGAGATCATTTGACGTAGACAATATTCTGCACGAAGACGCAAAGAGAGAAGAGCTCGTTGTTACCCCTCGCATTATCGTGCTCAAGAATACTCACTGGCTCTATTCCTTTACCAGCTATGAGGAGACGCCAGCTGAGACTTAGCAGTATATGCTCGAGATGCGTGTTTTCTCCGCCGTTGCGGAGCATCCTACACGACTATCCCGTCAATATTCGCATCCGCATCGGCAACACGGTACGAATGTGATCAACGGCTCAACGCGCGGATGATGCCAAGCGAACGAGAATATTTGCATAGCGGTCGTCTGAGAGCGACACCCATACGTATGTTCAGCCTTTTATTTGTGTGCACGAGCGCCTCGTACTCAATTCGTTTTGCGGCGCATAGTGCTTTGCGAAACAGGTCGTCCTTGGCCCACTGACGAAACAAACGGACAACCTACGCTTCGAGGACGCCGACGTCCAGTATGTGGAGCGCGTCGGGTCGGCAACTGCGATCCACAACATAGAGGCACAGCTAGTGGCACCGACGTCTACTTTTCCTGGGCGGCCTTTATTGTATATTCGGACGACCAGGCGGGACCGTACGCACCTCTGGTACCTGCTGCGACGCCATCTTCTCTACTACAAGAGCTATACCCGGGCCTGCGAGTGCAATGACGACGACATCACCTCTCATTTTCTTTGGTTGCTGGTCTGTGCCATCCCTACCCTCGTGAATGGTAGTTCTCCTTTGGTTCCAATAGCTGTTTTTCTTGGGGCCGTAGCGAGACGACGACGCTCCAGGGTCGATCTTACGTTCAATACCTGAGCACCTCTTGTCCCTTCCTCATCCTCCGCAACACGGTGCCACCCCCAACCCCCTGACCCGCGCCTCAGCCGCAGCAGTGCCCAGCTGTCGTGCGCACTCGACGACCTGAAGAAAGACGAGGAGACCGCATAAAAGGTAGCTGCCACGCCATTTCTCCTGTCAGCGTGTTTTTTGACATGCGTCATAATTTACCCTTTATAATGTACACACGCCCTCGCGCTGACCACTGGCCAGCCCGGCGAACGCGTCGAGCCCCCGGTCTGCGGCAGTAGGGATAACATGGCTATGACCCTCAGCGGGGCCTGAGTATACACACAAAGAAAAGCAAGGAGTGAGATGATAGAGTGCTGTAATAAATAATATGGACAAATACAAAGAACGCACACCGTGACTGAGACTGGAAGATAGTGAGCGACAATCGAGTTCAGGAATCGTAAATAACGCCGAAATGAATATTATCAGAGGGGGGATGAGATCCATAAAACACACTAAAATGTCCGCGCAGTCGCAACGGTCCGTCGACGACACGTCCCACCCGCGCTCGACGATAATGCCTGCCCAATGCCTTCCCCCCTACATGCTCTCTTCGTTATCGGCGCCGCCCGTTTCCTTGCCCTGTTCACCCCACGGCCCATAGCCCTCCACCGCTTCCCATGCCTGCTCGAACGCCATATCTTGAGCACTATCTGGGGTGGACAGTGCGGAACCTGAGACCGCCGTCTGTGGATGCGCCGCCCGTGCGGGTCCTTGCGAGCTTTCGTAAGTAACCCTCCTTTGTATTCTCTTCAAAATAGAGAGAGCGGGTCGGGCGCAGCAACCACTCGGCTTGTTCGGCGATATCGAGTGTGATTGTGGTGCCGCTGATGGTGTGCTCCGTCGGTACGGACAAGATGTCTGTTCTTGTAACGGGGCTTTCAGTGGAGTAGCGATTCTTGAACTGCAGTTTGCCTGAATCGAGAGCCCAGGTCAACTGCGAGCGGCACAGCACAGAGCACAAGATTCTCTTCGCGACCTCGAGGCTTGTGTTTCCCGGCCCATCATGGTCGATACACAGGAAGCGCATGTGCGGGGAATCAACGATGCGCCGCAAAGCGTCCCAACCAAGGGTGTTCGCAACTTCGACATCGCCAAGTTGGAGTGTGAGATTGATGCTCCCGATATGCACGAGTGGAGACCCCGCATCCTGGCCCGCACTTGATCGGCGGACCCTGACTACAGCGGAGATGTGGTTGCTCTCAGACTGACCTGGACTGAGTGAAGAGCAATAGATCGACACCGTGTCTGATGAAGAATAATTGGTGAGCTCTGCACTATTTGCATGAATTAGAATATCCACCATGCATAGTATCGCTGCGCGGAGTCACAACCGCGTTTCCGGGTCCGTTTGGTACCAACGAAAGTAGTCCCTGGAGAGCCATGTCCCATGTGTGGTCGTCAAGGCCCATGCGGCGGGCAGGGTCCACGATGTCTGCAGCAAGCGTCGCTTGAATGGGAGCCACCATATTTTTACAATCTTTTATCACACATCGGAAGGAGTGATAGGTCGGTGGAGAACGTCTGCGAGGTCTGCGTCGGTGGATGGCCAGCGGCGGGTCAAGGAAAATGAGTCGCTCGCAAGAGCAGCTTTCGAGCGTGGAGAAATTGTGGACGAGCCGTATGAGCTCGGTCTTGCTCGTGAATACAACATCGCGAAGAGTGAGCCTGGTAAGTCCGACATAGGATGGAGCGACGGTGGGTATCGATTTAAACGGGGCCCAACGGCCGGCCGTTGATGCAGCATCGTCCGTGTGGTTCTCGACGACACAGATGAATCTTGTCTTGTGGAGTCGGGCTGAAAGTCCATGGAGATGGTGAAGCCAGGACTTTGCTCCCGTAGCTTCTTGAGGGATATATATCCGCTTGATGGACCCGGACAGACATGAAGCTGCAAATCCGGGACTGCTGATGATGTTCTTGAGTAGCTGTATGTCTTCGGGGCTGCGCAACTCGAGTTCTTGGAAGAGGATAGGTCTGATGGCTTCGGACCAGTACTTGCATACGACGCCTGGCCCAGCGAGGCCGCGCTTCAACTTGCGACGTCTGTCCAAGTCCTCATCGAGATCATCTGGCGGAACACACTCCAGAATGTGTGACAATGTTTCAGGAGGCAGATTGGCTCCTGTGACGTGCGACATCTTCAAGGACGACGGGGCAGAAGTATGGCAGCCTATGTAGAGTGCGAGGAAGTGAGGGCGAATGAGGTGTACAACCGTGACGCTGAACGATGGATGATGCACCTGCAGTGCTATATCGCGGCAGCAACGCACAGCCATTTGCGTCGTGGATACAAGATTCACAAGTACATGACTGCCTCACATCTCATGCAGATCTCATGTTCGTCGCCTCGGGCATCCACGGCAACTCACCCTTCCAAAGTCTTCGGTCTCAAATATCCTGCTCCGCGCATGGTTCCTTGTCTATGCTCACCTGTGAAGGAGTAGCGGGCGTCAATGGTTGGCAACACACGTCAAGTTCCGACATCTGGCCCGGGTGTGAATGTGCAAACGTGCGGGCAGACGTTCGGGACTCTTGAAAGGAAACGTGCGCAGAAGCCGGCGCCTTCTCTAGAGTCCGCATCAGGAACAACTCAGCTTTGAGTGATGCTTCTCAATATCAGGTCTTGCAGGCATAGCCCCGTAGCCACAGCCATCGCCTGATGCCTAACTTCTTCCAAAACATCGCAGTAGATCGCGCACCAGCCCCAGTCCAAATCCCCTAAGAACAAATATTTTATATCATTGTAGCCTTACGCGCATGTCCGTGCGGATCAGTTCCCCACTTCGGATACAAACCTCCATGTCGCCACTCATCAGTTTTGATGACTATCGACAAGTCTGTGGTCTGTCGCATACATGCGCATCTTTCCGGCCGCGTGTCAGATTTCAGCAGTAGCAATCATGGAGCTCCGCCAGCCTTGCACCCCGTGACTCATGGGAGAGCTCGTGCCCCCGCTGCACCACCCTGTACGATCAAGACGACTGTAGTCCGATGTAAGACAGCGAACGGTAAGAGGAGATGAAGCTGACGTACCTAGACAGGGATGGTCGTCGGCTGGGACAATGTTGTATAACCGCTGAGTACTGCCGGGACATTCACAGGGCGGTTGATAGCAACGGTAGTGAGATCAACGGAACGAATGTTGATATTCTTATGCGTCAGTTTTCGTCTCGAAGGCGCGCCACTGTCTGCGCATGACTTGGTCATTCAGAAGACCAAAGCGAGGGAGCGCGCAGCGGACACCTCTCGTGGGATTGACAAGGTCAGCTAGCGAGAACCTATCAGTGAGTAAAATTGCACAGTGGAGCGAAGATATGGATCTCACATGGCAAGAGAATCGTCGTCCTATACTCCACGCCCTCCAAAGGTTTGAGGTCTGAGTATTTATCGTCAGTATCGTACTCTGTCAGAAAGAGAGTCCGCCGCGTGCCTATACGTCGCTTTCCGATGCACCTGGTGCCATGGCAACTCTATACTCGAGCACTGTTACGGTCTCTAGATCCCGTTCCCTCAGGCGTGATCGTTTCGTACAGCTACAAGGAGAGCAGTCAACGGTAAGCCATCATGGCACATAGTAAGAAGACACCGACCTTGTGAAGCGCACCCCGTAGTGCCGTCTCCTACTTCTCAAACGCTTCGAGATATGAAGAACCAGTATGGCCGCCGCGCTCGGCAAGAATATCGTCGCACAACGTCAAGATACGCTGATATTTCAGGATCCAGTCGCGGCCGCCGCAGCAAAAGACGGTGTAGAATGCCTCCGAGAGCTGCTTGCCTTTCGGGTTAGCGAGCCGTTCAAGGAAGTGTGCAGAGTTATTGCAGGGCCAGCCTTCATACCAAGGCGATGAAAATAGCTGCGGGTCGATGCCCCGCTGCAGAGTCGAGCGTACCGACCGCAGTGAGGAAACCTTGGAGAGCATTGAATGAGTCGTGTATCCATCGCTTGAAGCGCCGACATACCTTGGCTAACGGCAGCCGAAGCAATGATCTGAGCGACCTCCCGACATGCCAGTGTTAGAGTCGCAGAGGGCATACAACGGTACCAAATCAGTGGCACTGGCCGTTACGGGTCGCCTGTCCGCCCCGTTGGATCACCGTCCTACCGCAGCAGATTTGGTGGAGTGCTGAATATCGAGATGGTACTCTTCTTATCGGTGCGAGTACTAGCGTCCATTCTTGCCTCTGTTAGGATGGCCGGGCCGTCGAAGGTGGTGAGAAATTCAGAACTTGCGACATACAGGAGGGCTGGTGGGTCGGCGGAGCTTTAATATAGGTCTCCCATGAGATCCTCCTGTCAATATTCCTTCGCCTTGCAACTCATGAGCGAGCCTGTGAGTAAGAGACGATAGAAATACTCACCGTATCAAAGCATGAAATCGGCTGCAGGGACCTTGATACCAGTATCGGCGCTGGGGACGACTCTGGGCGCTGTTTAGCGTGCGACGACGGACCAGGACAACCAGGGCGCACCATGGTAATACACCCTTACGACTTCACATCTAACGAGACTTGCCGTCTGACGTCTCGCATCTCTGCCTCGCCGAACTTCACGTAGTGAGACCGCTCCGCTGGGTTCTGTTCGCTACGGTCGTGCGACGCGGCTCGCCTTCTTGGGTGTGTGCTGCGGGTTGACATTGGCGGAGAGAGCGACGAGAACCGTTGGGATAGCTTGCATCAGGCGCAGTACCTGCAGCAATGGTGAGAACAACGTTAACACAAGAGGAAAGACAAGTACAAGACATTATTGAGAAAACAGGCTACAGGTCGGTTCATCAGCGGGAAGCCGAGCTTGGAGTACAACCTGTAGGGGCGAGCATAGCGAGGTGCGCGAGTGCACTGGGCAGATGCCGCAAGCAGAGACGGATCGTTGCGAATGCTGAATACGTCGGTGAGGCGAAGGTGAGTGAGCAAGTTGAGAACTGGAACAGGGCGCATCATAGGGCGCATCATTTCACGAGCGCTAGCTGTGTGGCACACGGCCTCAGTTTTTCCCTGAGTCCGTTTCGTCCACTCTCTACCGGGATCTTGCTCGCTCTGGTATCCCACATGTGTGCTTCGACGCGTGTTACAGTCTTTTCACTTATCGCTTATCTACGCCCTCGCGCTGAGCACTGGTCGGCCTGGCGATTCGGAACGTCGAGCCCTCGCTCTGTGACAGTACGGAGCAGCCAACAAGCCTGTCCTCGGTTTCCGAGCACACTGGCACTGGCGCTCACAACGCTCAGAGGACGCACAGCTGGGAGGAATCACGAGCGCGAAGCGATGCAGACGAGATAGAGAAGGTCTTCATCACCATTGCCGACGTCTACTTGGCGTGCTCGCTACCATTAGCACTGTGCCTAAGGCATGCGATTTTGTGCTGACACCGGTAGACGGGAACAAGCGGCCGCCGAGGAAGTTGAAGGATGTGCGGAAGTAGGTGCTCAGAGGACCTCATGCCAGACAATGATCAACAGGGATTGTGCACACATACGTAGTATTCGAAACAGACGAACAACATGCCATCGGCTTTGGGCTGCCAGAACTAGGGGATTTTGCCGTCGCTGCCTTCATCATTGACTTCTCTTCCTACAGCGCAAGCGTTTTAGTTCCGTGTGCCATCTATATAATGCGACGTATCGTACTAGATCATAATCAGCGAGTCTTCAGAGTAATTTAGCGTGTGCTTATATACGGCTGTAATCGGCAATTACAGCGGAAAGACGGAGAAATACAGAAAATAAGAAATGTGCATGGCTAGTAAGTTTTGGCTCTCTTTTTACCTTCTCCCGAGGCCCTCGCGCTAGGTGCCGTGGGCTCTTCTTCGGCAGAGCTCGGAGTAGGTGGTGAAAATATGGAGGACAGTTGATCGTCTGCGGGTGTGGGTGCACGTCTGGTGTGAATGCCAGAGACCGCAATACGTGAGGTCGTAGGGCAAGCGACAAGTTCACTGTCAGGAGAAGTGACTGGCGATGGTACAGCATCGGCCATATCAGGTGCCGTACCGCCATTTCCGGCAGAACGGACAGTGTCGCCGTCCAGGACGGGCTCGGAAACCATCTCCGGTGTGACAGAGGTGATGGATGAAGACGACGGAGTGGCGACAGTTGGGCTATGGAGGGGCGTGCTGGGCTGAGAGGGATCGACGTCCAGACCTGCCAAACGAGCCTGTTCATCAGGAAAATATAGATTCTCGCGCCACAGCTCCCTGGTTGCTTCATCTCGATCTATTTTCGTCCAAAAATCTGCCATGATGGCCTGATATTGAGTCAAGTGGCTGTCGTCGACAGTGAGATCTAGGACGGGAAGCAAGTCTTGATACTCATGCGGAAGCCTTGAGATTGCCTGAGATATGTTGTCCGAGGTGATTTGTGGTGGAGCATGACTTGGAGATATGGGTACACCGAGCACCCATAGTTTGACATAAATGCCAAATTTGAGGAACTCAGAGCATATTGCTTTCCTGGCTCCAGAAGGCTGCAAAATAAATAATAAAACCATTAACATGTGACAAATATATACAGCACATGATTAGCTGAGACTGATTACTCACTTGAAGACAGTCCCATATACACCGTATACCATAGGCATTCAAGTCAGGATAAAATTCTGTGATGATCCACATGTGCAATGCCAGTCGAATATCTTGCACGAACTGAGACAGTTGCTCCTCCAGCTTCACAGTATGTTTGGCCAGCTGGACATGTCCCCACCAGCCAGCCACCATGATATCAAAGTTGACGCGTGCGTGCTGGGGCCGCGCGTATGGTTCCTGCAGGTAGTATGTGCGATGCTCAAAAGACATGGCCGCTAGACAAGCACATGCAAGGTAAGCGTGCCCTTCAGACTTGTCCACATGGTAGAGCATATCGCTGCAGCGGTCCTCATCGACAAGGAACTCGCCGAACGACGCGTGGAGGGGCACCACATGTCCGTCCTTGTCGATCATCAACACAGAGCGCAGACGGTCCACCACGTCGGAGACGTCATCGGCTGACAGATCGCGCTCGTAAAACGCAACGGTCTCGGCATTTATCCACTCGGATTCCAGGGCAACAAACCGTAGGAGGGAGCGGAGACGCTTGTGTTCAGAAGGTAAGGCGCGCAAGTCTTCGGGGGGAAATGCGGACCGTAAGATTTGCAGATACAGCGCGTCGAGGGGCGACACCGCCGGACCCCCGCCCGAGAGGACAAGCTCAAACCATTCCTTCGGATGACTGTGATGCTCGTCCAAGAAATTTACGGTGATCCGGGCGAAGATGAATACGCCGGCCGCACGTGAGACGAGGCGTCTGAGGGCGTCGGGGTGCTCGTTGAGGTAATCGGCATAGGAGGGTATCTTCGGTACGGTTTCCTTGAGGTAATGCTCGACATCACCGTCACTGTCCGCTGCGTCCTCCAGTCGCATATGGTGAACGACATCGGCTGAGCTGGGGTGTGCAAGTACCGACAGGATGTGGGGCTCTGGTCGTGACGCGGCAAAGACGTACAGCCACGGTAACTCCCGGACAAGACTGAACAAGGACCGAAGCAGCTCGGGAACCAGCCTCCTGTCCTTGCACTCGTCTATCCCGTCGATGACGATCAGTGTCGGTGTTTGGTCTGCGGGGGCGGCGGTGAGAGTCTTCCGAAGGAGCTCCTCGAACGCGTGTTGCATTTGCTGCCGCTCGCCGTGATTAAGGTACTTGCGTGCGGTGCTGATGATGTGAGGGCGAAGGGTCGACTGGGACACTGCGAGCTGACGTGCGAGCGTCGAGAACACAAGGTGAGCGTCCTCGAGGTTCCCGCCACCGCGGACGAAGAAGAATGATGCGCCGAGCTTGAGCGAAGGGTGATCCGCTGCGTCGAGACGAACGCAGAATTGATGGGAAATCGAGGACTTCCCTAGACCTGCCCCGCCGGTGAGGTAGCAAACTTGCTTGGGCTCATCCTCGGGGAATCGAACAGCTGACCACTGCTCCAGCTCCTCGAATAGCTCTTCCCGGGTGCCTTGCATGAACCCGCTCTTGAGTTCGTCCACCGACCGGTAACCTGCATCTGCTGGAGGCATGGAGTCTATGACTCTCTGGTTCTCTTCAGGATCGATGGTCTGAGTTAGCTCAGGAGCGAAGCGTGCACGAGAGACTGGAGGATAGACTTACCATCTTCCTGCTGTTGACGCTGATGCTCCTGTAGTTGCTGTTGTAGCTGCCGCTGATTTTCTCGCATCTAATCTTGAATTTGCTGTGAAATTATGTCATGGACAAGCCGTTTGGGATGACTGCATCCCACAGACCTTCGTATCTTGCGC